TTTTTTTTTCCTTCGCCTTTTTTAATTTTTTGTTTCTTATTGTCGTCCTCTTTTCGTGTTCTCACGCACAACGATCTGCCATGTTCCTTATTGTCTGCGGCGTGGATGGTGTGCGGCTTGTCTTTCTCCTTCACCAACAACGACATACACACAATTGCATGACGGGGTTGTTTGTTGTTTGTCATGCCACTTTCGCTTCCAACATGTGTGATGATGTGTGTGGACAAACATCGGTTAGCACTTTTTCCAAGCATTCAATCTTCGACAACAAACAATCCCATTATGAATGTGTATGCCATCGGATAATGACAGCTGCAAAGTGGACGACGCAGGCGCGAAGAAAAAAAAATCATTGCCACCCTTATTGCTCCCATGCACAGAACCGAAGAAAAACAAAAAAAACTCCTAACTGAAGGATGAACATGTTAATGAAAACAAAAGTCCAAAAGAAACCCCCAGCCCGAATGCGCTTGCTGTTGTGACAACGAACATAGAAACGTCCACCCCCAACGACCACCGACGTCGTCCGCACTAGCAGCAAACCCTGGCTCACACCCTGTTCTAATTGTACACGAAGGTGCACACATGCACCCACCTCATCAAACTTCTCCCTGCGCACCCAAGGGCATCATGAACCCCCCGCGCTCATATCGTCGTTCACAATGGCGTCATCGCCGTCTTGCGGTGGCCCTGTGCTCAACCAATCGAGCTTTTGAGCCTCCATTGGGGAAGACAAAGTGGCGTCATGTGAGAATTTCACGCCGATTGACGCCCAATCCGAGATGTACAGTGGAGGGGCCAGCAAGGTGATCGGGGGTTTCGCCAACTTGTCCGTGATGGCAGTTGCGGCCTGCACGATGTGGCGACGCGCGTCGAGCGAGCGATGCATGGATGCGATTAATGTGGGTTTCACCGTCAGCTGGACGAATACCCACGCGACGTAATGGGCGCGACGATCGTCACTGCCCATCCGCATAAACCACATCGTCGCGGCGAGCATTACCCGCATCGCCTCGGCTACGCTCTTCAGCCTCTCATGCGACACCCGACCGCCATCGACTCCCTCCGCCGTGCTCACGGCGCTCGTGAACGCACCCACCAATCTCTGGACGCTCGCTTCCTGATACGCCGCCAGCTCGTCGTCCTCGTGCCTGTCTTCAATGTAAGCACCGACGAACCACAGTGGCAGCTTCATGTCCATGTCAAGCGTAGTGTGGAAAACCGTGGGGCTCACACACACACGCCAGTCTTCCCCCATCCAGATCGTGCGCGCGATGTCAGTCGCCGCATGGTTCAGCGCGTACCCCTACGCAGCGTGGTAACCCCGTTGCCTGCTCGCGGACTTGAACACCCACCCGTGAATCACCCGCAGAGCGATGATCTGCACCTTCAGCGCCCTGTCTTGCGCAGCGCTGAACTCCGATTCGTCGTCGATTTTGTGCTGCGGGATGGTGGTGTGTAGCAGGACGATGCTGCGTCGAATCGCAGGAGGCTGCACACCCCGCGCCTCCGCCACAAGATACAGCCGCGCTTTCTGCATGAGCTTGACAATTGCGTTTCCCTCTGTCTCGTTCCAGAAACGAATGTCGTTCACCCACAGTTTGGACGCCGCGTCGATCCCTTCACGCGCGCTACGCTGGCGCACCCTGTTCGCCAGCGCTTCATCGTCCTCCCCGACTCCAGCGACGGCGCCTGCCCTGCTCCCTTCGCCAGCATTCCCCCCACCTGCCCTGGCTCCTTCCACCGCATGCGAAGCCCCCACAGTTGCGGCCCCGACTGACCTCCCCCCTTCAGCACACTGGGACGCACCACCCGCCGTTGTGGCGCCTGCCTTTGCCACATCTGCAGCACGCGCCGCAACCGCTGTCGACGCCCCTCGCTCGTCATGCGCAGGAGATCGGCTGGCGATCTCCTGAGCAATACCTTGTGCGGCGACGCCAACTTCTGTGGCCGTCGTTTGTCGCAGGGTTGATGGCGTTCGGCCGCGGACGAACACCTCTTGCGCGGCCAGGGGTTCGTTGACACGTGGCAAAGGCGCACGGTTCTACTGCGTGGCGGCACTCCCCCCAGCTCGGCCCGTCGCCGGACGAGCGGCGACATTGACGTCTTGTTCATATGTGCGCTACGCCTCTCGTCGACGTCATCGATCCGGAGGGCTCCAGTCTGCCTTCTGGAGGACTTGCGCTTCATTGGGATTTCCTCCGATTCGGCGAAGTCGCTTTCGACGTGTGAATCGTCCCCCTCCGCCACCCAGTCTTCCACGTCTGCGTGTATCGCCATCGCAGAGGCCCCTTGGACGAGCTTTCTCTGTTTGTTTGCCACGTGGGGGCCCCTTTTATCTCGGAGAGAATCGTCGACCGCCTGTTTCCCGGCAGACCTCCAGCGTCCAGAACCTCGGGACGCCATGGTGCGCGACACACCCTCCACGACACACAAGGCTGGTGGGTGGAGTAACGGCCCATATCACCGCCAAGAAGAGCGGCGATGATGGGGGAATAGAGCACGACATCCAAGTCCTTCGACAGCGTGACAACGCAGATGGTGACGAAGGCGACACGGTTCGCGTGAGGGACGTCGGTGTCGAAGACGCAGACGATGACGGCGAAAAAGGCAACGAAGGGGCACAGGAAGACGTTGGCGCAGTCCAAAGACGGCGTCGAAGGCGAAGGGATGTCTGTGCTGAAGACGAACACAATGACGGCGAAAAAGGCGACGAAGGCGCACACGAAGACGTTGGCGCAGTCCGAAGACGGCGTGGAAGGAGAAGGCTGGATCGACTGCGGGGGCGGAAAGTAAGGCGGCGAAGACGGTGTGGAAGGTGACGTATGTGAGGGCGTTCTCAATGAGTGGGAAGACGAAGGCGAGAAAGGATTCTACGGCGGGGACGAATACGATGGCGACATGGCGAGAAGGAAACGAGTGAAGAAGGCGACAGGGCGAGTACTGAGTGGCCCGCGTGGTCACTGCGATGTTTGCTGTTGTGTTGTTGGGTCCGCTAGCTTATAAAAACACGTCCCCCTGCGTGGTGGAGGGCGACGACCGGACACCCTTCACGACTGCAAAACGATGACTCCATCCCCCAACGTTCTGAGTCATTCTATCACGGGCCTTGTCTCGGGCGCGGAAACGAAAGGCCAAATGTTACGGGGCACAATATTGGTGGACGTCGAACACTCCACACATATCGTGGCCACCCTTTGTCAATCGCGCCTACAAAGGAGCCCCTCTCCCAGAAGGCAGCCCCCAAAGCAGTCGCCATCAACGGCCACCCAACGTCCCGCTTGGCATCTTAGCTACGAGGAGGATTGAGCACTCGCGGGTGACTCACTTGCCCTCCACCCCTCATAATCCGCCCTCCCCCCAAACGATTCGACCGCCAACCACCCCCCATGGAACAAAAATAAAAAAAAAGGAGGGCGGAGAGTGTTTACGGGTTGGTGAATGGTCGGGGACTCGTGGACAGCCGCTTTCGTCCCGACGACGTCCCCTTACCGCCGCCCGGACGTTTGGCAACCGCGAACACACCCCCGGTTGGATAACATCACAAAACAGGATACCAGCAAACATCCGCATTTGCAAGTCTCCAACTACCATGAATGGACATCCGCATTCAGACAACAAGTTCCAATCTCCAAGGGATCATATCATGCACATCAACGACTTTTTTTGCCTGTTGACGACATCAACAACAACACTCCAGAATTGGATGGCATTCAAGACAAAACCTTTATCTACTTCTGGTACACCTCTCGATCACTACCGCAAGAGAGTACATGCCACGACACACACACACACACACACACACACACACACA